TTTGGGTCCGAAATATATAATAAACGTTTATTTTACCTCTACGTGTCCCACGAACGGAGATATCGTGATGCGAAATCCGAAATGTCAAAATTTTATGTAGGATACGTCACCTCAAAAAGTCATCTCCTTTTCATATTTTCGACGGTAGATGACACTCGTTTATTGCTGTCATTTATCGAATTATTTATCTATAGTTTCATTAGCACTGTATTATTAATGTGTCGACATTTCACTGTATAGTTACTTTAATACTTTAATAAATTACTTTTAAATTAAAAGTGTATAAAAATATAAAACAGGCCGCTTGATGTGTGAACATCGTTACGTATATATTCATGCCGTTTATAGCCTCGCGAATTTAGTAACGGCATGAATATATACGCAATGACATACACACGCTAAGAGGTCAAGTGGCCCGTTTTAAATTTTTATATGCTTTAGATTAAAATTACTCAGAAACTAAAGCCGCAATTAAAGATCTAAAAATACTTTTATTATATGTCGTCGGTATCTTTCGATTGCGATCAGTCCGAATAAAATTGGTGCAGCCAGATACCAAGATCTGGAGATCATTTCCCAAAAAGGAACCATTTCAGCTTTTCAAATTTTTTCAGTCGTACGTGTAACATACATAAAGCATTTTGTCCATTAAGCTGCTATTCACAATGCCTTCAGAGAATTTTAATTTTATATATAAAATTAAAGTAAAATTAGCGACAAAAGTGAACCTTAACGCGTATTTGATTAATCATGATTCTTTAACTATAATAACTAGTGAAGAAGCAATTATTGATTTAGCCGATTATATGGCTAAACGACTACATAAACCATACGTTACATTTACGTTACATTTACCTTACATTTACCTTACATTTACGTTACATTTACCTTACATTTACGATACATTTACCTTACATTTACGTCACATTTACCTTACATTTACCTTACATTTACTTTACATTTACGTTTCATTTACCTTACATTTACCTTACGTTCACGTTACATTCACGTTACACTTACGTTACATATACCTTACGTTCACGTTACATTCACGTTACACTTACGTTACATATATCTTTCGTTCACCTTACATTCACGTTACATTCACGTTGCATTTACCTTACGTTTACCTTACATTCACGTTACATTTACGTTACATTTACCTTGCGTTTACCTTACATTCACGTTACATTTACCTTACATTTAGGTTATATTTACCTTACATTTACGTTACATTTACCTTACATTTACCTTACATTTACGTTATATTTACCTTACATTTCTGTTACATTTGCGTTACATTTACGTTTCATTTACGTTACATTTTCATTACATTTCCGTTACATTTACATTACATTTACGTTACATTTACGTTACATTTACGTTACATTTACGGTAAAGAAAAAGGAGGGAAAACTGATAGCTTTATTTGTGGATTTGAAAACGGCATTTGATTCGGTGGATAGGGGAGTATTGATTGAGGCACTAAGGGTAGAGGGGGATAAGGGAAGGGCTGGTAGAAAGGATGGGTGAGCTATTAAGAAAAACAAAGAGTAGAGTGAGAACAGGGGAATTAGGAGAAAGTTTTTGAACGGTGAGTTGGATAAGACAGGGGTGCCGGCTGAGTCCACTGTTATTCAATGTAATCACGGCGGACTTGGAGGAGGAAATGGAAAAGGTACAATAGGGGGGTGGGGTGAATTTGTGAGGTAGGAAGGTAACCTTTTTAAAAAAAGGTAAAAAAAAGTCGCCAAGTGTGCATGTACCTTCTATAAAAAACTATACTTTACATAAACTAAAAAAAAACCGTTACATAAATAATATAGTTCAAGTGGTTGTTAATTTTTTATTATAAATTACCCCTCAGTAGTACGTATACATGTATTAAAAAAGAAATGAAATCAAATCTTTAAATTACGCCAATTGCAAAACGAATATATAATTTCTTGCAACATATAACATATACTATTGTATTTTGCAAATTGCGAAAAGAACATATATTTTATTGCAATATAACATTTAATTAACGAGACAAAATGATACGTACCTTTATCTTTCTAATCATTCAGTATATCGACTCGTGTATATAAATTCCGTGAAAGTGTAAGCCAACTCAAGTCTACCACCAGGTGATATTCGTGTAATCAAATCTTTATTGTATTTACAATCATTATACGTTTCGATCCTTGGATTGGATCCTTTTCAATATCGTTTCCTTATTATTAATTAAACATCACTGTGTTTCCAAATACACTAATCAAACAATACAATACTGTTGTACATTAATCATTATAAATAATAAAAAACTTTTTACATTTTAAATATCCACTTACATGACATATTATAATATAACGATCCTCGTATTACTTATTATGTCGCTCATCAACAAGTAAATGACCCGTAGCGTGTATCTTATTATATGTATATATGTTATCTCTAAGTATATGTTCGCAAACAAACAAACTCACAAGATAGGAAACTCTTATTATTTTAACAAACATTCATACGCCGAATTCAGTCTTTCCGTGTCCGTTTGTAGATTCAAACTGTTCTTTTGTCTTTTAATATGAATCATCTCCGATGTAAGTCTCTTGTTTAAAATTCTTTCTTCATCCAATATCTCTATTCCATTCCAGTCAAATTCATGTGAAAATTCCAATCTATGTTCTGTAATTACCGACCTTTGTGTTGAATTCCAATTAATGTGATTTCTATGTTCTGCTATTCTAGTTTTTAAGGTTCTACTCGTCTGTCCTACGTATGACGCATCACATTCTTTACATGCTATTTTATAAACAACATTACTGTGTAACATTTTGTCTAATTTGTCTTTTTGGACCCTAATGATATTATTTAATTTGTTTATTCCTCTAAAAGCTATTTTTACATTTTTATATTTATTAAAAAGATTTTTTATTTTATTCTCTATGCTCGAAATATATGGAATAGTGAAATAAGAAGTGATATTAATTTCTTCATCTGTTCCACTATTATCCATCCTATTATATTCTACTTTTAATTTCTGATAAATCCTTTTCCTTATTGTATCAATTATTACTTGTAATGGATAACCGTTCATTAATAAAATGTTGATTATTTTATGTATATTATTTTTATGAAACATAGGGTGTGACAATTGTAATACCCTGTCTATTAAACTATATATCACTCCTATTTTCTGAGACGTTGGATGTTGTGAGAAATAGTTTAGAAATCTACCCGATGATGTGGGCTTTTGGTACCAATCATGTATGATCTCATTTTTGTTTTTTATTAATGAAACATCCAAAAAGTTCAATTTCTCTTTACCTACTTCTAATGTAAACTGGAGTCGTTCATGATATTTATTAAATTCTTCCATTATTTCCATCATATTCTCTTCATTCGTAGCTAATGCTATATCATCCATATATCGCATATAGAGACTGGGTTTTGTCCTTAAATTATTTAAGCATTTATTCTCCAAATCCTGTAGTACTAGATTCGCTATAGTAGGGGATAGTGGTGAACCCATTGGTATCCCAAACGTTTGTTGATAAAACGCCTCATTAAATGTAAAATACGAGGATTTTAACACTAATTCTACTGCTGTAATAAATTCTTTTTTTGTAAGGTCTGTTTTCTTTTTAATTTCATTCCATCTGTTCTTAATACCTTCAATTGCTACATTTACCGGGATATTTGTATATAAGGACACTGCATCCATTGAATATAATAGATCATTATCTTTTATTTTTAGTTGTCTAATATTATCTACTACTTGGAAACTATTATCTACTGTAAATTTGTTTTTTCTTAAACTCTCTTGTAAAATATTATGTAAAAACGTAGCTAAATTGTGTAAAGGGCTATCTATATAAGAAATAATGATCCTAACCGGAAAGTTTGTTTTATGTACTTTAAGGACCCCATATGCTCTTGGTAAAATCTGATTGTTACTGTTAAGCCATTTGTATTCATTCTCTTTAATGAACTTTTTGGTTTTCCATCTCTTTAGTAAATCCTTTAATTTTGTAATTGTTTTGTTAACTGGATTCCGCGTAATAACCTTATATGTGTCCACATCATCAAGTAGATTATTCATCTTGTCAATATAATCCTTCTTATCTATTGCCACTACTACATTCCCCTTATCTGCTTTTGTATAAATTATTTCTGGATTTTCTGATATAAACTTTTTTGTTAATTTGAACATATTCCTAATTTTTTGTTCCATTATGTTCTTATTAAATTTTATATTCTTACTGTATGTGATAAAATTGTTTCTTATTTCTGCTACATTTAAATTCTTTATTCTATGAAAGTTGTACTCTATGTTTTTTATTATATCGATTGTTATTTTTTTAATATTATTTGGTGGCATACAAAAATTATCCCCCAATTGTAGTAACGCATGTACCTGTTCTGGAATGTATATTTTCGTAAGATTTATAAACCATTTATTATTCGGAATACTAATGTCGTATTTACTATCTTTAAAATCCATCGGATTAATTTTAATTCTGTAATTATTACTTTCATCTATATTAATGTTACATATAATGTTACACAGTAATGTTGTTTATAAAATAGCATGTAAAGAATGTGATGCGTCATACCTAGGACAGACGAGTAGAACCTTAAAAACTAGAATAGCAGAACATAGAAATCACATTAATTGGAATTCAACACAAAGGTCGGTAATTACAGAACATAGATTGGAATTTTCACATGAATTTGACTGGAATGGAATAGAGATATTGGATGAAGAAAGAATTTTAAACAAGAGACTTACATCGGAGATGATTCATATTAAAAGACAAAAGAACAGTTTGAATCTACAAACGGACACGGAAAGACTGAATTCGGCGTATGAATGTTTGTTAAAATAATAAGAGTTTCCTATCTTGTGAGTTTGTTTGTTTGCGAACATATACTTAGAGATAACATATATACATATAATAAGATACACGCTACGGGTCATTTACTTGTTGATGAGCGACATAATAAGTAATACGAGGATCGTTATATTATAATATGTCATGTAAGTGGATATTTAAAATATAAAAAGTTTTTTATTATTTATAATGATTAATGTACAACAGTATTGTATTGTTTGATCAGTGTATTTGGAAACACAGTGATGTTTAATTAATAATAAGGAAACGATATTGAAAAGGATCCAATCCAAGGATCGAAACGTATAATGATTGTAAATACAATAAAGATTTGATTACACGAATATCACCTGGTGATAGACTTGAGTTGGCTTACACTTTCACGGAATTTATCTTTCTATTCAAGAGTCTTATATTTGCAATGGAATACAACATTTAATCTAAAAACAATTAAAGACGAAGCATCACAAAATGAGAAAATTTTATTGAAATAAAATTTTTTATGTAAAAATACTTGGCGCGCTGCTAGACCTCAAAATATAATAAGTAAAT